AATAGACCAAGCTTCCAATTCCCTTTGGCATCTAAAGCAATTTACAGGCCAGAAGTATGACTGCACAGCTTTTATGAAATGGTCTGATTTCATTGATCAGCCACTCCAAGATTATGTTTTCATTTCTGTAGCTATTGCTAAGCCTTCTTTCTGGTATAATATTCAGGAAGGAACTATTAAAAAATTGCACCTTGGAGATGTTAAGATATGAGTGGGCAGGGTTCTGAATGGGAAGAGAAATATCACAACTCATGATGGCTCTACTCAAAAGTTCATTTCAAGTTAGACCAGCATTCCACAGATTGTCTCTCTTATCTTAACTCTGTAATGTTTCCAAATGATAAGGATACTAATAAGAGCAGATGGCTTAATGAACATTTAGAGGAAAGATTTAACTGGTCCTATTTTCATTAGGCCTCCAGTGTGCTTCTGGGTTTTGCCCACCACTTCCCTGTGTGTGATACAAAACAGCACGCACTCAACAGATGGCCCAGCTCAGGCTTCATGCTTCCAGAACTCTGGAGACTGGCCACCTGACCACTTACCATGTGTACAGAATCATTTAAGGAAGCAGGCAGGCTACAGACTTGAGCCTGAACAGAAGCAAAAAATGGTGATGAATATTGAGTACCCGAGCTTCAACAAGAGGGGAGTCAGAATCATCCTCGAAAACGCATCAAGCGGCTCTGGTTGAGGTTTCCTCATAACACCTTCTTATGGATTCAGGAATGATGAAATCCACTGTGGCAAACAGTCCACTCCAATTAATGTTTCAACCAAACTGTAAGCATATCTGAGTGACTCGGCAACAACAATGACATGGAAATCTAACACCTCATTGCACAGTGTGCTCGTTACTAAGCTACTGTCTTACAGCTCCAAACTCACCCCTTTGGACGCTGCTTTGTGATGCTGGGGTTGGGCCTCTGCTAACTGCATTTCTCTTCTGCCAGCTACATTGCTGATAGGTCCTGCCAGTCTGGGAAATACAGCGATTCTGCTTGCTTTCCCTTCGAGTCAGCATGGCTGCAATGGCAGCTCTTCAGCCCGGCGCAGTAGCTGACTCTACTTTCCAGCTCTTCTCCGGACTCTGAGAATCAGTCTCGTCACGCCACCTCAGAGGCACCAGAAGCAGCTGGCTGGCATCCCCTTCTCAGAGGAGCGGGTCCCACCTCAATAGAGCAAATCCTCCATCTTTTTAGGTTCTCACAACTCCAACCTCTTTCCTTTGTTTCCTTAGCCCTAGAGATGGTAGCTGATTCCTGCAGATATTATTTCAACTTTTTTCTTTTTTAAAGATTATTTATTTATTTGAGAGAGAGCGAGCAAGCATGAGCAGGGAGGAGACAGGCAGAGGGAGAGAGAGAAGCAGACCCCCCACTGAGCAGGGAGCCTGATGGGGGGCTCCATCCCAGGACCCTGGGATCATGACGTGAGCCAAAGGCAGATGCTTAACCAACTGAGCCACCCAGGTGCCCTTTATTATTATTATTGAGATATAATTCATATACCATAAAAGTCACCATTTCAAAGTATACAATTCAGTGGCTTTCAGTGCATTCACCATGAGTGCAGTCATCCTTATCACTTCTAGAACATTCCATCACCCCCAAAATAAACCCCACCCTCATTAACAGTCAATCTCTATTCCCTCTCAGCCCCAGGCAACCACCCACTTACTCTCTGCCTTTATGAATTTGCCTTTTGTGGACATTTCATATAAATGGAACTATACAATATTTGTCCTTTGTGACTGGCTTCTTTTACTTAGCATAATGTATCTGGAGTTCATCCATGTTGTAGCATGTGTCAGAACTTCATTCCTTTTTATGGATGAATAATATTCCATGGTATGGAAGTACCCCATTTTGTTTGCCTATTCATGTCCTGATGGATGTTGGTTCTTCAAACTTCTTGGCTATTATGAGCAACACTGCTATGAATATGTGTATATCCATTCTCTTTGAAACCAGCTCTGCTCAGGCTTTTGTCTCCCATGGTGCCACAACATCTGCTCTTCTTAAGGTGAACAATGATGTCCACGGTGCTAGATTGAATGGCCAATTCTCAGTCCTTGTCTTACTTCACTTACCAGGAATATCTGACACAGCTGATCACTCCTTCTTGTTTTACTTGGTTCCCAGGATATCCTACTCTCCTGCTTTTCTTCCTACTTCATTAGACTATCCTTCTTAGTCTCTTGCTGGTTTTCACTTGGAAGTCTAACTAAACTGATTATATCCAGAACTGAACTCCCGATCTCCCACCCAGTGTAATGCACTCCTTGTGCACTCTTCCTTGTGTTGATAAATAGAAAGTGTATCATCCAGTTGCTCAGGCGAAAACCTTTGGCGTTGTCTCTAACACTCTTTCTCTTCACTTCACATCCAAACTATCCGTAAGTCCTGATAGATCAACCATCAAAATATACTTAGAATTTTACCACTTATCACTGCCTGCACTCCCTGGTATAAGTCACCATCTTCTGCCTGGAGTATTGCAAACCTCTCTCCTCTCCACCATTGGGCTCCCCTCTTTCCACCATAGTTGGATGTCTTCAATACAGGCTGATTTTTAAAAAAACGTAAGTCAGATTCTGTCATTCCTTTACTTAAAACTCTCCAGTGGTTCTACATCTTACTTCAGGGTAAAAGTCAAAGTCTTTACGGAGGACTACAAGGCCCTACATGAAGTAGCCCTGGCCACTTCACTGATTTTATCTTCCCACTGTTCTTACTCCATTCCAGCCACAGTGGCTGCCTTAGTATTCCTTGTACACGTCAGGTTGGCTCCTGCTTCAGGGCCTTTGCACTTGCTGTTCACTCTGCCTGGAATGTTCTCTCTCTTCCCTCCCCATAGATATCCATATGGCTTACTTCCTCACCTCCTACAGGTATTTACTCAAATGTCACCTTCTTAATAAGGCCTTCTCCGACCATGCACCCAAAAGAAAAACCCCTTCTGCCTCACACTCTTGATCTCCCTTACCCTGCTTTATTTTTCCACAGAACTTATCACCATTTGAAGTTCCGTACATTTTACTTGTCTCCCACCAGTATAATGTAAACTCTATGAAGGTAGAAATTTAAAAAAAATTTTTTTTAAATTTTAAGTAGGCTCCACACCCAACGTGGGGCTTGAACTCATGACCCCGAATCAAGAGTGTCATGCTCTACTGACTGAGCCAGCCAGGTGCCCCGAAGGTAGGAATTTTTATCTGTTTTGTTCACAGCTGTACTCCCTGGCACAGAGTAGGTGCTTAGTAAATATTTGTTGAATAAATAAATGAACTAGTTTTTGTTTTTTTCCCCTCTAGCTTTATTGAAGTATAGTTGACAAATAAATTGTATATATGTAAAGTATACAGTGTAATGAACTGATGACTAAAGGAATGAATGGTTGAACTGGCTATTTTGAAAACTAGTTAATACTTCCGCCATTTCTTGTGGCTTGACTGAAGCTAACCATTAGCTTTCAAAATAGTTGTCTAATTTGAGCTGTGGTGTGATCTTGCATGAATTTTTGAAAAAGATACTCTCATTAGAGAGTTTATCTTTCTTCAGGGTGGTATATTTAAAAATTGGGGGTTTGAGTCAGACTGTTGGGAGTTTGAAACCTGGACATCTGTGTGAATCAGGACAAGTTAACCGTTCTGTGCCTCAGTTTCCTCATCCATAAAATGGCATACCAGGAGCATCTACCCCATGTTGTTATTTTGGGGATCTAATAAAATAATGCATGTAAATCATTTAGCCTACTACTTGGCACATAGTAACGCTTCAGTGAACAGTGGCTTTCATTACTCTTATTAAGATGTAAGAGAAATTTTTCGAACAATAGAGTAAGACTTGCAACAGAAACAACTGAATACATATTTCTAAGTGAAACTAAAATAGATGTCCAGCTTTTTTGTGTAAGTGGCATTTCTTTGGGAAATGATCCAGAATGTGAAGGCCGATTGTTTTGTCCCTTTCCTTGGGAGGCTTTCATGGGATTGGACATATCCTCTTCATATTCTCTGCATCCCTACAGAATAGTCACATTGGGAACCCCTCATACTTAACATTTCCTCTCGTCACACTTTTCAACTTTAATGCCATTTCAGACTCTGGGTTCAGATTCCATAGATTATCTTCACTCAGTACACTGGTTAAAAATTCAGCAATTCCCTTTCGTGGAAAAGATGCTTGCCAAGTCTTGGCAGGCTAGCTTTCTAAATGAGTTGACCTGCAAACAAGGTTGTCCATGCTTGGAAAGGCAAGGACAATGGTCTCTTTCCATGTCACGACACTTCCTAGTAGCTTGCTGTCAGACACACCCTGTGTTAATTCCCAGTTAAACAAAGTCATTACAGATCCAGTCTGTGAATGCCAGTCTGTGCCAGATTCTTTGACTTGTGCCGGGAAACTGAGGAAGCCCATGCCTGTACGGGAGCATCTGGCTTCACATTTCACCAAAGCAGCCAATGGCATGCAGCCTCTCCTGTTCACACTCGCTTGTCAGGGCCCGCTTTTTATATTCTAACTTCTATTACCTCCCACAGCAACTTATACTGAGTTGGGCTGGGCTGGGCACACATTCATTTATTCATTCATTAAACCCCACAGGGATCAATAAATACGAGGTGAACCACACTGCTTCCTTGTTGCTTTAGAACTATTTTCTTAGTTTTGTTATTTAAATGAAATTTTACCTTGTTTTCCCAGCTATGCTGTAAATTTCTTGAGTACTCAGGCTTCTAGCTCATTCCTGTCTCCTGCCGTGCCACACCTGATTCTTCATTCAGTCTACGTTTTTATTATTATGCTCTGCAGAACTGCTTTGGAGAAATGGGTTTGAACTGTAGGAGTTAGGTAAAATTTTCTCCTTGACTTTTTTTTTTTTTTTATTGTGGTTCTTAGGAGAAAATAGCATGCAACACCCAGCAATTACTAAGCCATTTTCCTACTATAATACAGTTTCAAATAAAAGCCTAACAAAGCCTATGTTGAGAAACTTACTCATAAACAGTTGTCCATCCATTTTCATTACTTTTGGTAGCCAAAAGCCCCGTGTTTCCCGGATAGGTCATCAAGGCCAGATTATAGCCTTGGGCTGACACTCTTTTCAGGACTCCATTGCTGCTTATGGTCAGCCAGTACACCTGCCCGCCAGGCACCACAAGCCAAAGGGGCATCCCGCCTGCGTCACGGCGAATGTGCACAGAGTTGCCATTGCTGCTGGTAACCGCACCTAAGTCACCTTCGGCATTGTAGGTGAAATTATATACATAGTCCCGTGTTATCAAGTTCAAGGTGTGCAGGTGGGTTCCATTGACAGTGAACTGGTAGAGCTCCTGGTCAGCAGGTGAAGCAATCTCATAAAGGTTCATGTCATTCAGGTGGGCTTGGTTCCTGCTAATGGTACGAATTCGAACATTCCCAAGGTCTGCGACGTATAGGGTACCATCAGGTGACACTGCTAAGGAGGAAGGGGCTTTCATTTTTGCATCTTTGGCATAGCCACCATCACCTGTGAGAGAAAGACCATGATTTTAATAATTGTCATCACAAGCATTTATAAGAACATAACCATATACAGAAATCACTGTGCATCAAGAATCATATTAGGAGCACCTGGCTGGCTTGGTCAATAGAGCATGTGACTCTTGATCTTGGGTTGTGGGTTCGAGCCCCACGTTGGGTATAGAGATTACTTAAAAATAAAATCTTTACAAGAAAAGAATCATTTGAAAGCAAACAATCAGTGAACCATTATTCTCTGCATGCCCCTCCCTTGACAAATTTGAAACTTATTCAGAATTCTTGAATCAGTAACCAGTAAAGATAAACAGTGAGATGCAATTATCTCAGTTAACACCAGTTTTGTGAAATCATCAATCCTGCTGTTCAGTATCTATTGTATCACAAGATACGAAAACAGCAAATAATGGAAACCACACAAAATGTGGCTGGAAATCCATGAGATTTATGCCTGTCAGTCCTTGTGGACCTACCTACCTACCTCAGGACTTTCCAGTTCTACTGTGCCTAGAGGACCTCTCTTTGGCTAATTCCCACTGTCACATTGTCAAAGTACACTAAGTCTGTAAGTGCAACAATGATTCAGAACATCAAATTTGATAACTGGAATAAACATTAGATTTGCCTTGAATGAAAGACATAAATTAGCAAAATAAGTATAAAACTAATTGTCCAGGAAAACACTGGAAATATTGATCAAAAGTCGTATCAACCAAGTTGCTCATTCGTGATTCCTCTGGCCCAAGAAAAGGCAAGGTTAAGAGAATCATTTGGGCCCAGATGAGCAGTTTAATAGGACTGCAGGTAGCATGGAGGGATTTCCACATCCCAGCAATAAATGTATCTAGAGGACTGTTTGCTATACGGAGTATCTAATCCATGTTTTGGGGAAAAGACTCATATGTGTGTGTGTATATATA